AGGTACAGCATCATCATCATCATCATCATGGGGTACAGGTGCACCATCATAGGGGGGGTAAAGGGGGGAAGAGGGAGGTACTGTACTGACGTTGGTCTTGGCTTTAGTATCAGCACCGTGCTGCAACAGCATCTCCACCACCTTGACATGACCGCTATCGCAGGCATAGTGCAGTGGTGTCCAGCCATCCTGTGGGATGATGCATCAGCATGACGTACAGGTACAGCATCATCATCATCATGGGGTACGGGTGCACCATCATAGGGGGGGTCAAGGGGGGAAGAGGGAGGTACTGTACTGACGTTGGTCTTGGCTTTAGCATCAACACCGTGCTTCAACAGCATCTCCACCACCTTGACATGACCGTTAAAGCAGGCCTTGTGCAGTGGTGTTTGGCCCCACTGTGGGATGATGCAAACATGCAGTATATGTCCCATGTTATACCATAACGTCACCCATCCAGTGACATATTCAAAGTGTAACCAATATCACACAACATCATACCAAACAGCATACGTACCCGATCATCTTTGTATTGGGCAGCATCTCGAATACGTTGTTGGTCCCAACTGCTCACCAGCTGCAGCGCCTCTTGTGGATCTGATGAACAACACGCATCGTACAGCTGCTCTCCATCATCACTCATGGCAACGGTATCTCTCTCTATCCACCAAACCAAACCGCTTTCTTGCTTCTCTATCCACCATCAATCTCATGAGCCCCCTCCAAATACAACTCGTCTGACAACCCAGAATTCGGACTGGGATTCGACAGGCGCGCGCCGTTTCCAAAACGGCAGCCAGTCAGCGGGCTCTTAGCTCTTCTCTGTCTGATGCACCAAACGACGCACCTTTGGCCAATAGTTCTCGGTGACAGTGGCGAGGACCGGTGTACTTGGTTGCCCAGCGCACGTTGTCGACTGCGAGGTGAGATCAGTGAAAGCAAAAAAACAAAAAAATGGCAGCGGTGCTTTCAATCAAAACGTTCTGGCGTCGCTGCAAGGCCCCGACCAGGAAAGTCCGGTACCAAGCACAAACGATCAGTCACCACGCACACACACACACAGAAAGCAAGACACGTCAAGCAGCCCGCCGATGCCGATACCGATACCGACACCGCTGCCAAAAAAGGGCAGCACCAACAACAACAGAAGACGAAGTCAAAAGCACAAGCACAAGCAAAAGCAAAAGCCAAAAGCAAAAGCAATGGCAAAAAACCGAAAGGAAGAAAAATGCAAGCAACACACACACACACACGTTTACACCTTTTTCTTCTTCTTTTTTAATTTTTTTATTTTCAGCAACAGCGAGAAAAGCAAATTCCATCCGCACGTCCTGGACCGGGCTCATGGGTGGTAAGGACGGTTTGCGCCGGTCAATCGGATCGCCACGCCCAACGTACCTGCCAAATCTATTGGCTCGGCCGATCGAGCCCCCGTGTATTTCTTGCTTCTGCGCACCAACCACACCCATAGAGAGTGTAATTCGTCTCAGTCTCTCTCTTTTTATGTATCTCTCAAACTCTCTCTTTCTCTCAAACTCTCTCTCTCTCAAACTCTCTCTCTCAAACTCTCTCTCTCAAACTCTCTCTCTCAAACTCTCTCTCTCAAACTCTCTCTCTCAAACTCTCTCTCTCAAACTCTCTCTCTCAAACCCTCTCTCTCAAACTCTCTCTCTCAAACTCTCTCTCTCAAACTCTCTCTCTCAAACTCTCTCTCTCAAACTCTCTCTCTCAAACTCTCTCCCTCAAACTCTCTCTCAAACTCTCTCTCTCAAACTCTCTCTGTCTCTCAAACTCTCTCTCTCTTTCTCACGCCAATTCATCTCGCCGTCAAGCTTGTGTACGAACAACGTGTACTGCCCCTCTGCCAGCCATGACAGCTCGCCTCTTACACCACAAAAATGGGGCTCGTACCTACAACATGTACTGCCCCTTTGCCAGCCATGCCATTCCAAGCCCGTTGGCTAAATGCCCCCCTCTGGTCATACCAATCTTATTCCCCGCCCAAACGTGAGCGACCATTCCTGACGTGAGCGACCATTCCTGACGTGAGCGACCATTCCTGACGTGAGCGACCATTCCTGAGGTTCGGTCATGGTGCTGCTCGTTCCCTTTGAACGCGCGTTTGCCTTCTGGAGCATTGCAACGGCAACCTTCACAAACCGATATATCTCCTGCAATAACTTACATCATCATTCCTAGCAGAACTACATTAACTTCTCGTATATCGAAATAAACGGTTTAAAGAAGAGTAAAAAACCGAGGTGCATTTCCCCTGCAGCAACTTGCATCTCTACGCAAAATAAGAGGGTGTGTTCAACATTGCGAGGTTCGGGGCAGCAAGGGCAGCGGGTGACGGGACTGAGGAAGGGCAGCGGGAGAGGAGCAAGTGTAGCAGAGACTCTTTTTGAACGAGGTCGGAGGGAGAGAAGATGGTGCTTGAGGGATCAAAGAGTCTGTCTACACGCGTGGGTGGTTGTCACTACAAGCTCATGCATAGTGGAGGGCCTGCCTGGCTCACTTGACTGCAGTTTGGAAACACCCACCCCGACAGAAGACCCATCCTGTTGCGCGCTTGTAAATTTAAAAATGGACACACGCGTATACAAGCGGGAGTTGGCCCTCCCCGGAGATTTTAATTGTAGGCGCGATCGCGGCCGTGGGGCTCGCTGAGCAACGCCTCGTAATTGTCCGGCCCTTGGGCCACAATGCCCAGAGGATTGATCTTGCGATGGGAACCTACAGCAACATACAAAGCGCCAGAACACACACGCGCGCACACACACACAACCAATGTCGTCGTCAGCTCAGCTCGGACACGCTCTAAACCTTGGAAACTTTGGCCTCAGCCCATCTCTCACGCGCTGTCGGCACGGATCGTACCAAAGTAGTGCTTCTTGGTCTCCAGCGGGTTAAACATCCCGCTGACACCCTCCATCTGGTAAATCTCCCGCGTGTAGCCCCACAAGTTGGGGTAGTCCACCACGCGGCGCTTGTTGCACTTGAAATGGGTATGGTATACGATATCAAAGCGCAGCTACTCATCCAATAACCCACACCAAATGAGCACATCGACATCACGTCGATTGGTGTGTGCGGTTGCTTTCGAGCCAAGGAAGAAAAAAAAACGTACCAAGGTGGTGACCAAGCGAATGTCCGAAAGGGTCAGTCGGTCGCCACAGAGATAGCGCTGCTTGCCCAACAACGCCTCGACCTTGTCCAAAGCGTCAAACAGCTTGGTGCAGGCCGTATCGTAGGCTTCCTGGCTGCCCGCAAAGCCGCAGCGATATACGCCCTGAAAATGGGCCCAGCACGAGACACACGAGTTCAAATCAGCTGCACACCCCCAAAAACTCTATTGATACAAGACAGTGTCTGCCACATACATCGTTGATAAGGGATACACGAGCT